GCAAGATTTTGTGTTTTTGCAATATATATAATATCGTAACTCATACATAAAATACACAGGTTACATTATTTAAGCTAAATTCGATAAAGGGCTTCCTCCCACAGTCCAAGGTAATCACTATTAGGTTCATTGATGTGTCTGAATTAGCCACAAGCATGGCTATAAATGCGTGATTGTTCACATTAACAGCTGAGACATAACACTTATTAATCTGTTCATGGGCAAACCTGGCATTCCTACACCAACATTAACATCAAATCCTGATCCTAAGCAGGCATTTAAAGTGCATTTTAGCTTTCCAGACAGCTGTCGGTCCTCATTAGCACAGTACTTTTCCAGTTCCTGGACCTCAGTATAACCCTGGACAGAAACCCACAGCTGCAGCTGGCTCTAAGTTCGCCTGGTGTGCAGCTAGCAGCTAGCAGCCCTGCTCCCTCCTCGCCCTCCTGTTACCTTTGTTTTTCTGTGTCCGAGAAATTTCTTTCTCTATTTCCGCGATTTTCTCCAAAATACCCATTGTAGCAATCCAGGCGTTGTGCAGCCAATCTGTTGGGGAGAGGGGAAAAAAATCACAAGAGAAACGTGTCAACTTTGCTAGCCAGCCGGGGCTAACTACAAACCGGTAAGAGCTGAGAAACAGCATTAAAAGCACTCCTTAGACGGGTAAACAAACATCTGACTAAAAAAGAACCCCACATTGTCAGCGATTTACAACGTTAAATTAAAAGGAGGAATTTACTTTAACAGAGGGTGGACTCAGCAGCATGCACACACTGCTGGCCGGTGGGGTGAGGAACACAGTTCCACCATCAAAATGTATCCCCGACCTGTCAAGTCATTGCGCTTCTACACTAAGGTTTACGGCGACGTACAACATTCTAATAGTGCGTTTAGGTACACCTCGAAAACTAGACCATTCTTACTGTCATAGATGTAAAATAAGTAAAACAAAAATGTCCGAGTAAAACAAGTGTTATTATCAAATATAATCAATGTCGCTTTTATTTAAGTAACTTTTATAAAAGCTTGAGGAATACCATAATGTTATGTAAAAACCAAAACGAATGTTTTAATCTTGATTAAGAAATAGTTTGAGTTCAAAGAAAGAAATTAGTTGAATATATTCAATTTCCTGTTTTATTATTCTTGTTTGCCTGGGACTTAGAAGGCAAGTAGACACAAATAAAATTAATCAGTAATACATAAATTAAAATAAAGCAATTATATAAATATTGACAATAGTAGCTGATCTGCAAAAACTTTACCTAGTTGGGCATTTCATCTTCGCAGAGTTTAATTAAGAGTACTTATAAATGTTATAATAAATGATTATGATGTTATGATATTATCATTCATATAAGTTTGTAGTGCGTTCAGGACTAAATGTAACTTGATTCCTTTGACTTACTTGAAAATACGATCAAGTGTAATTTGGTTTGAATGCACCGTCAAGTTGAAAAAGCGGCCGTAAAAAGTCGTGTATAAGCGCATCCAGTGGCGCCGCCAGGAATCTTGGGCCCCCTGACAAAAAAAAAAAAAGCTTTTCCCCCTCCCCCCTCGCAGCTGCTGTTACTATTATTTGAGTCTATTTGACCAATAAAAAGCGTCACAATTTTAAAGCCTTACATCTGTCTTGCTTTCTTTGGTTCAGTAATGATAATTAGCACAATATTTACTGCTCATGAATTTAACATCCAACAGTCCACATCCAGTATGCAAGTAGGTTGCTTAAAATTTTTCTATTAGTTTTAGATAACTGAAATGCCTCTCCATGAGCAATAGTCAAAAGCAACCTGCAACTACACATAAAGCAATCCAGACTTCTAAAAATGCCATGTAGTTGCATTTTATTCAAGCTGCAGTGCATAACTTTAATAAAAAATATGTTTTCTCCATATTTGTTAAAGCTGTCATGTTGTAGCAGTTTATGAGACATAATCTGTGAAAACAATCAATCTCCTCCATCTCCTTCCTGAATTACTATTACTGGTTAAAGTAATGCATCGTTCTGACCAAAACAACCAATCAGAACCAGTAGGATGCTCTTAGCGCTGTCAATCAACCTCATTCACTCACTGCTAAATGTGCTAAAAGTAAAAAAAAAATGTGGAAAAAAATATATTTATGTAAAAGTTACATACTGCAGCTTTAATTTAACTCAGGAGAGGACGGGTCAAGAGGGACGTGGTAAAAGGTACAAGTTAAATATATGAATATGTTGGTAATTTTTTTCCTTAATTCATTAAATGCTAGTGAAATGGAGGCAAACAGCAGTTCGTAGCTAAGCTAATAATGCTAAATGGTTGATAATCTCACAGTCTACCCACCTGTCTTGGAGGAAAACTGGGTTATAAATTAACACTCTTGCCCTTTTCTCTCTCTATTTTGTTTTTGAAAACCTGATTTTATAATTTTTCTTAGCAGCATAGTAACTGCCACAGTCGCCTGTAGATGCATACGTCACGGTGAAGCGCTCCAACCATTTCATGCAGATCCAGGGGGGTTCAGGGCAAAAACGGATGTGTGTTTTTTGGTCTGTGAGGGGCAACATTAAACTTTTTTATTGTACATATTATATTTTTGTACAATAATATTGTATTTTTCTTTGAAAATACAATATGATTAATTTTATATTTGACAGGACCCCGATTTTTATTTTATTTTATGTCTATGAACAAAATATAAATAATTAAATGGTGGAGAGGCCCCTGCTGTTCATGGCCCCTAGAATCGTCATCACTTTTCATACCTTTACCGCGCCCCTGAGCGCATCTGATGGGTAAACTCATTTTGTCGGGGGAACTCCTACTCGACACAACACCAGGAAACAGTTCCGTTCCTGTAAAAAGTCCGGCAGAAACAAGGAAACTCGCGATTACGAAACTTGACCCCTTCATACATTACACGGAATTGCATTAGTCGCCGGCTTAACCGTAACGATGTACTCACCGCGCAGAGAAAACTAGCAACCAGCGATGTCTCCAGTCGTAACTACCTTTGTTTTGTCCAACAGTCATTTTTGTTATTTATCGATCCAGCAGGTCTGTCAGAAGTTTTAACTAACGCAAATATGGCTGAGCAGCCAGCAGGCAAAGGACCGTCATCCACCAGCCGACCTGGGTTTGAAGGGTTTCCCTTCCCGGTACCTCAGCAGGACATCTCCGGGAAAGCACATGAGCAAAGTGGGGAGGCCAAAAAGAAGCCGTGTAGAGCCTGTACGGACTTTAAGTCCTGGATGAAGCATCAGAGCACAGCAGCTGCTGCACAGGTGGGTCAAAGGATAGAGAGGTACAAGGTAGAGGTTTTAGTTTTGAGTGGAGTCGTCTTGGGAGAGATGCACCGAGTACACTTTAGTGACCGACCCGTGGATCAATACTGCAGGACTTCACTATACTTTACATTTCCTGCTGAAGAATCGTACCCCCAACCCACACTACCACCACTTCTCTTATCATGGGTTGTTGACCTTAGAGCATTGCTTCACTCACTTATTATTCCTGCTAAGTTTTGTAACTAAGTGACTTACCTGGGTTTTACTGTCTCTCTTCTTCTGCAGCAGAAGCATGGTTCAGAAACAGAGCAGCCAGATCCTCAGTGCCCACTGGACAGAGAGGAGTTGGGCCGGAGCACTTGGTCGTTTCTGCACACCATGGCAGCGTACTATCCCGATCGTCCGTCTTCCACCCAGCAACAAGACATGGGACAGTTAATCAACCTCTTCTCCAAGTTCTACCCTTGTGAAGAATGTGCAGAAGATCTCAGGAGCAGGTCAGACCACAGTGCACTGCCGTAAAGGCCCATGGGAGCTTACATACACTTGTCATGGACAAGAATATCACCTAAATCTGGCACTATTAAAGCTTCAATGAAGGATGTAAATAACAAAAGTTGGGTACACAGACTCGAATTTGTGTGTTTACTCTTATCCATTCTAGATTTCACAATCAGACACATTGCAAGTTCAACAGAAACTACAAATTTCTTGTCATCTACAAGATTACGGCAAAACTTCATCTGTATTTTTAACATTCCTCTTGGCATGGCTGGGTCATCTAAAGGGGCAGAATTATGTAAAACAGCTTTGAGTCTCACATCACATTATTAAGGTATTTTTTAATGACAACTGAAGTTGACATGGTTACTTGATTGCGCTATAAAACGGCACTCCAAGGCTAGAAAACACATAATGCTGCCTCTTTAAAGGAGTTTCTGTTTCGGTCGTCCCAGAAGCTTAATGTCTGCCTTCCTTATCCATTCTTAAAGCCAGTTTAGCTGTGTGGCTGGGATCATCGAATATTACATCGATCAGGACAATCAGCTGCATCACGATGTCCATCACGAGAGCACAAAGTGTAAAATCAATGACGGCTCTAATCAAACCCCATTTCCTCCCTGCAGACTGAAGACCAACCATCCGGATACGAGCAGCCGCCACGCTCTCTCCCAGTGGCTCTGCCGCCTTCACAACCAAGTCAACGTCCGGCTGGGGAAGCCCGAGTTCGACTGCTCGCTGGTGGACGAGAGGTGGAGAGACGGATGGAAGGACGGCTCCTGCGACTGAGCGCGTGTTTGTGTTTGACAGACGTGAGGACGGGGCGTCAGCCTCCGAGGGGAGACTTGCAAAGACGCTAATATAAAAGAACAGTGAATGATCAATTCTACACCTTTGTTGTTTTGTGTTTAGTTTGTGTGACAAGTGTAATTCTAAATTAATAATTATAATAAAAAAAACGAAGAAAAGCATTTCAATTTTTTTTTTTAAAACAAAATATACAGTTTGGTTCTTTGTAACCCATTCTTCTCCTCTGTGACAGTAGTGTCTGAATATTTTTACTTGAAGAACACAGTTCAGATTCGTTTAGATTGTTTTACCTGCAGGTAGGATTCTGAACAGTCAGAATCTTACCTGCAGGTTGATTGAACAGAAAACAGGAAGTTAACTGGACTAACTCTTTGGTACAAAATTCCTCATGAAGCTTCCCTCATTCCCTCACATCCCAACTTCGACAACTTTCTCCTTATCCAAGCAAAAAATGTTGGATGTGCTACTGATATTAATATACTAACTGCTCAAAACCTCCCTACAGAATCATACTTTAAAAAAAAGTCAAAACAATGTTTTAAAGCTACATTAATTTAAGCACAGATGAATACATTTACATCTGGCAGCTCTCTTTCTCTCTCTCCCTCTCTCGCCCGTCTTTGGTGCTCGTCCCCGCGCCACTGGGAGCGCGCAGGACCCGTCCCTTCAGCAGCGCGCAGCAGCGCATCCATCCTGCCGCGGAGCCGGGTGATCGTGGAGCCGCACAGAGCGCACACACCGAGAGAGAGAGAGAGAGAAAGAGAGAGAGACACACACACACAGAAGATGGACGGAGTGGGATCGTTCGGAGCGGGCCGAACCGGGACCGCTGTGGACCCGATCACGTTCGCCAAGCAGCCGCAGACCATCCTGAGAGTGCTCTCCTGGGTGAGACATGTTCCGTTTGCGTGCTGCATTTCAGCCTGTTATCAGTGTGGCTGTTCATGCGCGTGTGGGGAAAAGCTGGGCAGCGGGGTGTGCGGATAGAAACGTAAAAAAAAATGAAGGTGAATTGCTGTGTGTGTATGCGTGTGTGTGCTCGCTAGCGCGCGCGCGTGTGTGTGTGTTCAAGAAATCTGGTGCAGGGTGTTACCAGGGCCTGCTGTTTGGCTGACACCGTCCATAACTGCTTCCACTACAGATGTTTTCCGGGGTACAAGTGACCTATTGTTGCCCGGTGCTGTTATTTCCAGGTCACACCTCACCAGGCACCTCTTTAGAAACACACACACACGCACACACACACACACGCACACACAGCAGATCGGATCAGAGAATCAGACACTCAGGCTAATTATTCATCAAATTAACCAAATTACTCACACACTAGATGCTACTATTTTGGTTTAGTTAAACGCTATTTCCATTTTTTATTTTATTTTATTTGCAATGTAATTTTCAGCTGATGGTTTTACCCTACACGGCTGTCGTTTGCCATCTCACCTGTGATTGGTCCGCCAGCATCATTACGCACGCAGGACCACGGAGATGCGTTGTGGTCTGACGTTCGGGTTCCGCGAAGGAGCTCGTCTTTAGCGGCCCAGGGGTTTGTGGAACAATGAAGTGCGTGCAGTGCGTTTCATTATCTTACGTCTTCTGACAACAGAGCGTCGTGTGTGTGCGTTTGTGTGTGTGTGTGTGTTTGTGTTTTTATAGATGGGCCATAACATTTTTCACTTAGATTCTTGTAACCTATAAATATTTCCAGCAGACATATGGAAGATCAGTCAAGATTAGAAATGTAATGAATCCAGAGCCTGCAAAAGGCTGACTGGAGCCCTGGGCAGAATTTAATTTGGGGGTCCACCAAATATTTTTGTGTTGTGTGTTTATCATAGTTGGTTTTAAAGTGAACAAGTGTGCCAACAAGATTTTTTTGTGATTTTATTTATTTATTTATTTTGTCAATTTAAGGTTCTCTATAAAGGTTTTACTGCTTTTTGAGCTATAGTAGCTTATTTTGTCAGACAGGTTCTGTTTAAGTATTTTTAATTTTTTTTTTAAATTTGATTCTGCAGGGATGACTAAGGCTACTAAGACATAATTTGATAAGATCATAATTTAGCAAGAGGATTACATTTTCACATTGTTCCATGTCTGTTTGGATAGAATTGTTTTTTATTCCTCGATTAAAGAAAATTACTTTTTGCCATTTACTCAAGTTTTCTTTGTATGACATTAGTATTTCCTTCAAAATCCTAAGCATTCAAGTGTGGCTAAAAAAAAAAACGAAGCAAAAACAGAATAAATCACTGGCAAATAAATTTGCCAGTGATTTTCATTTTTGTTGCTTTTTTTTAAATACGTGAAAGCTTTTCTAAAAAAAAAAAAAAAAAGATAATATTTAAGTGGAAAGGACAGGAAACTTGAGAAAACTACTGTTTTGAACTTCAACGATGCGTCGCCGTGACGCTCAACGCCGCTTCATCCCACTGATTCACCCAGAGCTCCTGCGCGTCTCTCTGCTCAGATTACATCCTCTCATGTGATGAGGTTAGAATGTGGGCCTGACATTATCCCATTGTGTGTCCTTTCTTCATCATATGACCCAGACGCCCCCCAGTATGAGTGCATTTTTCTCTCTGTGTTGGTGTGTCACATGGCCTTATTAAGCTGAAGACTGCCGGTCAGCTGACCCATGTTGGAGTTTAGGTCCTGAACAAAGAGAGGAACTAGGTGTTTCATGGTAAAAGCTTTAACTCGACGCTGTGAGACGAACATGGCAGTCGCCACAGCAGTCGGTGGCACACTTCTGTTTCGTGTGTTTGGTGTTCAGGGGAGTTTGATTCTGTAGAGGAAGTGAAGCATCCTCATCTTCAGACAGTCAAAGAAGAAGAAGAAAAAAAAAGCCCAAGCAGAAATTAGGTTAATGCCAAAGAGGGGCTTTTAGACCACAGTGCATTCAATGTCCCTGAAAAAAAAAAAAAAAAATGTTTCTAAGCACTAAAAAGAGAATTTCAATCCTACAATACTGATATTTTTCACACTAAATTTACACATTTAACTCATCCGCCTCCTGTTCTTCCTGCCTACCACAGATATTCTCCCTGGTGGTCTTCGCCTCCATCGTGAACGAGGGTTACGTCAACCTGGGCAGCGAGCGCCTCCACTGCGTCTTCAACAGGAACGGCGACGCCTGCAACTACGGCGTGTTTGTGGGCCTGGTGGGCCTGCTGGCGTGCTCCTTCTTCTTCCTTCTCGACTACAAGTTCTCCTCCATCAGCTCGGTCAAAGACAGGAAGAAGGCTGTGATGCTGGAGATTGGTTTCTCAGGTGAGAAGAGGTCAAATCGAACTTTGCAGAAGGGGACAGGACACACGTGTGGAAGAAGGAAAACCAACGCTGCACGTTATCTTGAATTCATCGTCCTCAGTGTCATGCTGTGGGTCACTAACCTGAACCATAGAAGAAGAAAACTTGTTCAAGTTAGCAAAAATATTTGAGACTACGGCAGAGATTAACCTTCACATTCTTTTGCAAAGAAGAATGGACAGAAAAGTGCAAAGCCAGTAAAGACATAACCCCGGCGATTTCCATTCATAAAAAAAATAAAACCCATGTATCATTTTTCAGTTTCACAATCAAACATTACCTCGGCTTGTTACATAAGGTCAGAATAATAATAAACATTTAGGTTTGTAGTCGTAGTGCAACTAAATAAAAAAAAGTTTCAAGAGATATTAATCCCTCCTAAGGTCGTGTAAGAGGCAGTAATAGGTGTTGTTTTTCTCTGAAAACAAAGGTGAGCATTATACAAATTCAATGAGAACTTATGAAACCAGACTAAAGCTGAAAGTAGGTTCTCCAAAACATCATATAAACATTTGGCGAAATGAAACTGCAATCTGGTTTCATCCGTTAAAGAAATTAGACTTGTTTTTTGTTCTTAATTCCTAAAATATTTATTCTCAGTTCAAGGAAGTGAGAAATGGGAAATAATGGACCGCAGGTCGTTCCTGCCAGGAGCATCAAACGAGTTTCCTTGGCAATAACATTTCTTTGTTCTGCTGGTTTCCTGCAGGTTTTTGGACCTTTCTGTACTTTGTAAGTTTCTGCTTCCTAGCCAATCAGTGGTCTCGGACCAAAGTCAACGATCTGCCTCTCAACCAGGGAGCAGACGCAGCACGGGCAGCAATCGCCTTCTCCTTCTTCTCCATAATCACATGGGTAAGGCTATGAAACCACGCACGCACTGGAAGAAAAATGCCCAAAAACCTGGTTTTGAAATTGATAAATGGGTCCCATAAACTGGGTTTGGAGCAGCGCTGACTGTCTCTTCACCTTTATCACGTCTTCAAGCCTTTGTACAACCAAAGCAAGAGCCGTGTCCATTTGCTCAGCACAAAATCGAAAGTGTTCGCCAACAGGCGCTGCTCCTTTTCACTGATTCTGTTAGTGGTGTTGATGGACAAGATCTCAAGGTGAAGTCTTGGAAAGATGGTGTCTGGTTTGCTTTTTGTAGATGATGTGATCCTGCTGGATTTTTTTTTTAAATCAATTGGAAAATGGTGGACTACTCCCTCCAAGTTATGGATCAGTTTCTGCCTCAAGAAGATTAGTTCACCTATCTTTGTATCTCTAAAAACCTACGATCTTATCACCCAACGTTAAAAGCAGCTCTACTCCATACATTTAACGTGTAACAACAGTGAAATGAGAGCAACTTTGATAGCAACTTAGACTTGCTTGAGGACCAGAGATTAATCTAAATGTTTCTAGTTGGTTTTAATCAGTTTTGCACATCAGCTTTGGGGAATTTTAGTCATTTCCTGTTTCCAGAACAGCCTAGCCTCTGGGGTGTTCGGTCGGGAACGTTTGGGAGTCAGGATTTGCAAATCAGAGCACTGCTCTTGAAATAAAGCAGGACGTCTTTTAATACCTGGCGTCCCACTGTTTGACAGCCTTCTGGTTAGCAGCCAGGCTAAAGTTAGGTGATTAGCATCGACTGTGCTAGTAAATTAAACCAAAAGGCTAAACTGTTTTTTTTTTTCTTTAGTATGTGAGTGACTAAGACCATGTTTCTCTGTGCTGACAGTTTTTGAGTTATTTCGTGGATTTTGGGTTGGACAGAACCCAGATGAAATTCGTTTAAGCAAAGCTAAGTCAGCTTAGCTTAAACACTAAGCTAACTTGGTTTCTTGCCTTGAGCAAGAAAACAAGCTAAGATGACTAGCTAGCTAAAGCTAAGTTGTCTTGGCTTAGCTTAAGCGCCTGTTTAAGGCCCATGTTTGGGTTTTGAACACGATAGTAATATTTATCATTTCTTAATAAGACATATTATTTCAAAGAAACTCCACGGTACTCTCTAAGGAAACTGGAAAACAGAAGACACCAGTTTGTTTACATTTCATATCCGGCATGATTTAGCTCAGCCAGTCGTGTTTGATGGATTTTCTTACGTGGATGAAACCCTGGCTATTGATTTTGATGAGCTCACTCTGACTGTGCAGCATCTTGAATAATTTACTGTACTTTATCGTCCCTGCCCCCTCTGCTGCCCTTTGCAGGCTGGCCTAACAGTGCGTGCAGTCCAGAAGTACCTTCTGGGTACAGACATGACCCTGTTCACCACTGAGCACATGGACGGCGCCGCGCCCACCCAGCCGTACCCGTCCAATTCGCCGGGCAGCGGCCCGGCCGAGACCACGGAAGCCTACCAGAGCCCGCCCTTCACCGAGAACAACACGGCCCCCACATACCAGGTTCCCATTTACTAGGACAGACGGACGTGACGGTGGAAGGATTGCAGATGAGAGAGAAAGTAGCTTTCTGTGATTTCTGTTTCAAGTGAAGCTGTTTATGAGTTGATCCGGGGCGCAGTTTTCAGTCGCTGTTAGAAAAGGCTAAAAAAAAAAAAAAAAAAAAAAAAGAGAGAGAGAGAAGAAAATAGTCAGGCGTCTGCTTCTTTGTTTCCTCCTCTCGTTTCCTGACCCCTCCTGAACATTCCAGCTTTATCTGCCTTTTTTCTAGACCTGCAGAAAGGAGTTTCCTCCTGCATCAACGCAGATAAATCGAAATCAAAACCAGAGGAGGGAAAACAGAAGCGGGTCGCAAGTAAAGTGTTTCAAAAACCATTTTGTCAAAGAGATGAAGTGCTGAACAAGTTCCACCACAACAAAGCTGTTTTAAAGGCGCTCTCTTGGAGCTCCTTGATCTTGTTGCTTTCATTCGTTCAGGTGTCCCCTTTTCTTGCCAAACACTGGGAATGCTCTTGTTTTCTTTCTTTTTATATATCTTGTTTTTTTTTTTTGTTTGTTTTTTTAAAGCTGCACTGATAACTCCTCCTGAGCTCCCAGCTGGTGATCATCTGCTCTGAATCTGTACGTTTTCAGATGTGGAGATCAACTAAGTGCCATATTGTTCGGAAAGTGACTTAGTGCAATATCTCACATTCTTATGTACTGTAGGGTAGGTACACACTGTACTGTATTGGAGGTAGAGAGGTCATAGTCAGGGCAGGTCAACTGTAGGTTCTGTCTCAAATAACACACTTCTGAAACTCCTGTAAAATCCTTACCCTGGAAAGTTTCTAATACAAACATGCATAACAAATGAGCAGCTCTCGAAATTGAAATGATCATTCCCAGAATTAGGGTCTTTCTAGGAATCTTCAAAGATGTAAACAGCATCACAGCGGAGAATATTTCTTCTCTGCTTTGTCCCGGTAGATGAATTCTGAGGCTTTATTTCATTCTTGTAGGCAGTTCAGTTTGATTACAACGATAACTCAATTCTCCAATGCAGCGTTTTACTTTTCTGCAGAACAGAGCAAAATCTGAATCAGGCCTTGGGCAGAATTTTCTTTAGGGGAACCCTTGAGATTTTTTTTTGTATGTTTTGTTTTGCGTTTTTGTATTCCCCTCTTATTATGCAGATAATTAGTGAACCAATTATAAATAAATTTTACTTTGTGATATATTTGGTTGACCATCACATCATCTACCTTGAATTATTTCTTATAGGCATTTCTAGTTAAGTGCTCGTTTTAATCATTTTCATCAATTTAATATTCATTGATTTTATTCTTATTTTTACATGCAGTGAAGAAACGATAAAACTATAATCTGACATTTCTAGTTGGCACACACAGCTGTCCGAGTGCTTAATTTTTCACATTTAAAAAAAAAAAGATCATGACATAATCCTCTGAAATTTCAAGTGAAAAACCTACACATGTGCTACATGTTGAAGGAAAAACCAAAAGCTGCAACAACATGGATGAAAAAAAAAGAAGTGACACTTTGTTGAAGCATCTTTCGTTTCAGTTTTTGCCTTCAGAGTTTGTGAGCAAACAGTCTCATAATTCATCCGTAGTGGATGAGAATGTAAATGAGGTGTGTAATCTGAGACGGCATCCTATGGTAAGAGCGTAAGACGAGGTGTGTAGGGGTTTTCTGGAGAAACTGGGTCCTTTTATGTTTCCATTTTTTTTTAACGCTGCCAAACTGCCCTGTGTTTGCTATTGCACTGTTAGTTTTCCCAGCATTTTCTTTAGAGGTTAGAATACAGATGAGCTTTTGTGGAAGTCAGGTCAAGTCTCAGGCAAAAGAAAGAAGAATGAATCTAGAGTTGATGTCTGATCCGTCAATCCTCCAGTCCCGCGTTTAGATCTGAGGGGGTTAATCGTGACATGGATTGATGTCGGGAGGATGTGGGTCACCTTTTGCTCCGATGTATATAGCACCATCACTTCTGTGCTGTGGTCCACACACACACACACACTCTTGCCATTCATCGATCTGTCGTTGTGATGAGGGGTTCACATGAGAGCAACTGAGATCATCATGCAGGAGGAGAATAACTGATGTCTGACTTTTTGCCAAATAAACCTTTTTTTTCTTCCTCCACATGTTTTTGTGACAGTTTTAGCAAACTCTGTCTTGCGCGCTAACTTAGATTGTTTATAATTCATCCTAAATTGTATACTGAAGTTATCCAAAGTCCAAAGCATGAACTCAAGAGGTTTATTTATTTTCAATAAGCAGCACCAAATGTGAAGACTCTTCTCGGAAGTCTTGTCTAATGGGTTATTTCAGCTATTTATTTATTTATTTCTTAACAGTGGGCTGACACTAATATTTTCTCAAAAGTCAGCTTGGCAAGTTGGACTTAATAACACTTAAACCTTTTGTATAGAGTTCATTAAATATATAAAAAATAAGTCATTTTTTAAGTTGGCTCCGAGGCGTTTCGCAGAGCTTTGACAAGCAGGCAGTAGAGTTAAAAAAAATATGTCCCCAAAAAGAGAAACTCTGGCTCTTCACTCAGTGTTTTTCTCAACACTGTGATCCTGGAGATCACTCATATAATTTACACATGTAGCTGAATGAGTGGTTAAATGTGTAAAACAGTTTCAGGTTGTTGGTATTTCTGCATCAGGAAACATCAGCAGGTTGGTACAAATGAAAGCTGAGTGGAAAAAACTCAAACAAATTTAAATGTCCGTTTTGGATATAATAAAAAAAAAACCAGCTTGTCCTTCAGTTTAATATTTTCTGTTTATATATAAAAAAAAAACTTTTCATTTATGTTTAATTTCTAAATTCAGATGAGGAAAAACTAATAATCAAACATGCACGGAATCATGTGGACAAGTCATTTATGTTGCGCGTCTGAACCCGACTACTCCCCCTAGTGGTTGACTGACTTGACTGTCACCGTGTTTACAGCGGTACAGCACCAGCCCGCCTGGTGCGTTTGGCCCAATTCAGTGAATTTAAACTCTAAAAAGTGAGATGAAGACATTTCATGTGGTGGGAAATGATCATAATGATATTATTTAAGAGGGAGAGGGTAAAAAAAAAGCATAATTGTTTTTGCTTTAAGTCCCTTTTGGGTTAGTGTAATGAATTTGGGTTGCTGTCAGGTCAGGATGTTTTATCGTTCTCAGTGCTTCAGTCTCTTATTCAGTCAGTGTGGTAGATGATGATGATTATTAATAATAATAATAATAATAATAATAATAATGATACAAGCATTCTCTGTGTTTTGTGCTCTGCCCTATGTACACTATGTGGTATTGGTTGATTGTAAAAAAAAGTACAAATAAATAATTTTAAAAAATCAAGAAAAAAAAACCCTCAGTATGTTCATGAAGTAAATGGAACTCTTGAACTCTTGTGTGATGCTGTCCAGGGTCTGGTTTGTCCTGTGCTACTGAAAAGAAGAAAATATTATCAAAAAGAGTTATTTATTACCTAGACTGCACTCCTTTTTGCAAATACTTTGTGGAGAACTCGTTAAACAGGGCCGACGTCGATGTTTTACGCCATCGTTCTGTTGTTTTGTGAAGCTGAAGTGATGAAAAGGCTGTTAGATGTAGTTCAGCTGGCGCCGTCAGTGGTACCAGAACAGTAGGTTGCATGGATTTTTGCAATACGCCCGTCCCCTACAGCCCCTCCCCTTTAAAACAAATCTGAAAATAACACGAGGATTCTCGCTGACTGACGAACTGGACGTTGGTTTTTGTAGCCCTTTAACATGTTTCTAAGTTGTTTCCTCCTGTTCTGAAGCTGTATGGCCTCTTCAGTGTAAACTCGCTGTGTACAGAGATGTGTGTCACTGTCTGTTACCTGGACTGCAGTCTGACCATCACACCAATAAAAAAAAGACAAAAATCGCTTTTGGCCTGCGTGTTTCTGTCATTATTTCAGCGGTGGCTACACTCAGAGGACGTGGAGTTGGCAGCAGAGAAAGATTTCGTCATGTTTTTATTGGCTGTAATTAGGGCACACAATTTTTAAATTTGCTTGAAAATAGAATTCTGACAAATGTGGTGTGAGTGTCTCCACACCATGATGCTGCCACCACCATGTCTGAGCGTCAGCATGCTGTGTTAAGGGGAAGCAATACTATTCAGTACCTTCTTACTATTCAATACATTCTTCTGCAGACAGAGCAAATTATTTAAAAGGAGACACGAGTTTTGAAGAGCACAACTGAAATTTTGACTGTAATTTTTGATAATCAATTTACATCTTACTTCTACCTCACAATTATGTAGCTGAAATACAATTTTGGATAACGGTTTTCAAGGAACTCAGAAGATTGTGTCCCTTCAAAATGGACGACTACACAAAGATGCAAGTTCAAGGAAAATAAACATAAAAAAAAAAAAATCCAAACTAGATTTTGGTATGTAAAATACCTCTTCGTGGGGAAAAACAACCCATAGTTTTTCAGAATCATTCTGAATCCACCAAATAATGTTATACCAGCAGGCAAACATGGTGGTGCTACTATAATAGAGTCGCTTTGTTTCTTCAGGATGAGGACAACTTTACAAATTGAATGAAATAATGAATTCTCCTCTACAGTATCATTTTGCAACAATAATGTACCTAAATTAATTAGCAGCAGCTATCTTCATCTGATATTAAAATGTTTTTAATGGTGTGAAACATGTATATGCGGCAAAAAGCAAAGTGGAACTACGCGTTTGCTGAGCTTAATATACCAGCTCCTTCTCAGTGAAACGCTGGTAAAAACGTTGTTAAAGGGTTAATAATACAGGAGCGACGACTTCCTGAAGGCGGAGCTTCAGGAAGAGCCGGAGCTTTTAAAGAGACAGAGGCCCTCAAAGTCAGATGTCATATTTGATATATAGAGTGTAAGGATGTTCCGATCGGGGTTTTTTGCTGCCGATTCCGATACCGATCATCCATGAGGCCCATCTCAGAACCAGCGTCTTACTCCGCAAGCTCAAAGATTTCAATTATTTTTCGGGGTATTTGTTTAGCTTTCTGACCGTCATGCTAATCCGGGTGAGTTTGTCCTTGTGCGCTACTTTACCTGCCATCTGGCCGCTCCGGATGTCCTTTTTTCCTGCATTGAGCCTCGAAAATACAGCCAAACTCCGTCAAGTGCTTGTCTTTTAAATGCCATGTTAGATTCGTTGTGTTGATGCATTTTGACGTGCTTCACCCCAGAGGTAATTTTCCGCCGCAACACGCAAACGTGTCGCTCTCAGAGCGTTATAGTTCCACACGACAGGATTTGTTGCAGCGCGCTTGCGCAGTGTGAAGGAAAGAGATGAGCTGCACACGCAGGCTGCGAAGTGAGAAAAATGTGATCGGTTTTGGTGATCAGCAGCAAGAGACCGTGATCGGGGATCACCGATCATACACTTTTTCACGGAAATCGGCCGATTATGATCGGTGGCTGATCGATCGGCACACCTCTAATACAGCATTTTTATAACTGAAATTGCACAATGTTCCTGGAAGACATAATACTGCCCCGTTAAAAAAAAAAAAAAAAAAAAAAAAAAAAAAAATTACACATTTAATGTAATGTTTTACATAAAATAGAAAAAACTAACTTTTTTCTATTACAGGCTTTTTTCTTTTCCTATAAAGATTAATCTTTTTTTTGTTCAGTCCGATACAGCTGGAATATGACAGACTGAACTAGAAACAGTGATGAGACAGATGTACAATGTGATCAGCTTTATTGGAAGTGGATGGAAAACAGTGCACTGATGTACGATTTCCGGGCAAAACCAGAAACCTCAAAACAGAAGGAGAAGCGCTGGCACTTGTGTCGACACATTAAGGTGCTTGATGGAGGTTATGTTTCTTCAGTCAGACAAATCAAAGTAAAATGTGCAATAATTTAAAGCTGGGACTAAAGTCAAACGAGCTCAGTCTCATTTCCCAGTGATTCTTAAGGAGAAGCAGAGGACTGAAGATGAGTTTGTTTCTTTGAAACCTCGTACAGTACAACAGCCCTGGTGGTGATCAACGAACATGCCAAGATTACCGGATGGGGATATGAACGGAATGAGTGTGAATGTTAAAAAAAAAAAAAAAGTTCATAACACTTTAAATATGAACAGAAAAATTTGTTCCAATATCAGAAGCAGCTTATTTTCTGTCACATCATGACAAAAAGAAAATCCTTGCACCATCAGCTAGCTGACCACCTTCTGGCATTAAGCAGCAAAAACTAAGCAATTAATCTGTTATATTTAAATAAATACGATGCTAATTACTGGAACTGAATTGCTTAGTTGTTTAACCAAGCAGCACCGCTGCCATGCATGCTCATAATGACTCATGTTACCAAGACAAAGTGCAGTTCTCCGTTTAAGTGAAAGCAAAAAAAGCAATTTTAAAAAAAAAAAAAAAAATCAATCATTTGAATTCCTCTCTCAGACCACAACTCAACTTCCTCCATTATTATTATTGTTATTATTATTATTATAGTCACAGTTCTGATTACAGACGCTCTCAGTGAGTGCCAGCTGGAGACGTCCTTGAAGGAAGCAGGTCCAAGTGGAAAACCATTTGGACCCACCCATCGATGTAATCTGCCTCAGAGGAAGGCCTGAGGCTCCCTCTGTTTGCGTAAACGGCAAACGGGCTGCTGCATCTGCCACGCCTTCACAGAGCTGCAGCTGAAATGTCGCCCGGAAACAGACGTAAACTGACGGGGGGCAAAGGGGGCGGCGGGGCTAGCTGATGATGCGGCTGATGGACTGCAAGGAGGGGAACTCCTCGCTTTCGGTGATGTGCAGGGTCTTGTGGGAGTTGAAGTCTTTTGGGGCCAGAACCTGTCGGCAGGTGGGGCACACCTGGCAGTCCAGCTCGGCCGCCGTGTTGGCCGGCGTGGCGGGCGTCTGCCAGGCGTTCTTCTTGTTCTTGTTCTTCTTCCCCCCACTGGCGCCGGACTGCTTCTCCAGCGCCTTGCAGTCGGCGTGGGCGGTCAGCAGCTCCTGCTGCTTCCCGGTGTCCGGCAGCAGGACCAGCAGCTCGTTGAAGATGCTGTTGAAGTTGTCGCCCAGCAGGTCCTTGCAGCTGCGGTGGTACTGGGCCGCCGAGATCACGCTCTGGAAGCGGAGAGGAGACGGTTACAGAAAACAGGGAAGCAGTCAGGTGAGGGTTTTTTTTTAACTTACGAACCTGCAAAATACAAAAATATTGTCAAGTATTTTTCCTTTAGTTTCTAGTTTCTTAGTCCACTTAAATTAAAAATAAAACTATCTTACAGGTAACTTTTCAGCAAGATTCAGGAGATTGTTTAAGGTAAATAATTCTTTAATATTGATGAAAAAATTCAGGTTCCACTGGTCAAGTCATTTCACTTATATAATCTATTGAGTACAAAATGGCAAAGGCGCCGACGTTACCTGTCTAAACTGAGCCGAATAGTTTTTGAACTGGTTGAAACTGGACTCGTCGTGGTGGAGATACTTTTTAATGGACTTGATGAGCTCCAGGTTTCTCTGCTGGAAGTCGTCCGGCACCAAATAGCCATTAGTCGGCATTTTGGGGGGTCTGAAAGAAGAAGGATAAAACAAGACAATAAAACAGAAAGCAATTCTGAGGATTTTCAATTATGACACTGAAGAAGACGAGTTTAATGGTTTTTATTGCACAGGAGAAAGATTAAGACAACAGTCATTGACTTTCTGGTAGGCTAAATAAAAATCTTTTTGCATGAATATCTTTTGTCAACATGGACAGCTGCAATATGCATACAAGTGCATCCTATATATAGGCCTGCTACGATAAATTTTGCTGAGTGATTAATTGTCTAAACAATGATTGCGATAAACGACAATATTGTCTCAAGACCTTTTGACACTGATTTAATGGAAATGACTAATAATGCATGTGATTTCCTGCCATAGATAGATACACTTTATTTTCAAAAGAAAACATAACACTGGAACTGATAAATTAAATAAACAAAACAACCAAAAACAAAAATAAAATGTGTTCTCAGTCTCCATTAACAAAAAACGTACTTGAATAAAAACTAAACAACATAAAGCCAAAGTGTAAACAAATACTACATTCAACCAAAAGAGTGCAGATTATGAAGTCTGTATACTATATTGGCCTTCAGTAATGACTAGATTTAAATGGAGAAGATGGGCACATCCGACTACCTGATGCAATAGTTCACACTACACGATTTTTTTGCCCCTATTTTACCCTTATGACAATCCTAGATCGTTGGCTGATCCAAGATTCTCGCTGGTGATTTCGTAACCGATCATCCTGTAGTGTGATTTAGATCGTCGTGGCCGCTCCGATCTAAATCGGGGTTTTTCCCCAGACTGGG